ATTCAAAATAAAACATGCTGCCCAAGGGAAGCATACACATTCGTGTTTACATTGTGAGATGGCCAGAAGCAACGACACTGGAGAAACAATAAGCACGCCTATCACTTAGCTCTTGTTTCCTAACACCATTCTCCAATAAAAGTTACTAGGGCCCCATAAAGAAATGGCTTTTTTCTAGGAATGGGACAAGGCATATAAAATATGCACCAGAAAAAAATTGTCAAAAAGGTCCCCCAAACAAGCAAAATATGTCACCTTACACACACAATGATATATTGTGTGGGCAGGGATACAGGTACCAATGGAAACAGCTCCCAATATCCAAAGATGGGATGATTTGACCAACCAGATAAATAATTTAATATTTGGATTTAATCTATAGCATTGAATAAATGAGCTCATAGTGATGTGAATAAGTGATGGAGAAAGTAAGTAAGTGAAGGAAATGAAAAATTTTCCTGTGGAGATTTCCAAATCATATGTAAACTATTTTGTTTTCAAGAAGGTGATGTGTTACTCTCCACTTTTTAACTTTGCTTGTGTATAGGGACTTCATTCTAAAGAGTGAAGAGGCAGGGAGTATGTTAACAGAGGAGAAAGCCAGCAAATATGACCTCAGCTAGGTAGTCAAGGTCTACTATTATCAATAGTTATAAGTAAAGACGTTAACATAAGCCAGTGATGCAACATGATGACAACGGCAATTTATCTCTGCTGTCCTCATCTTCAAAATCAGTCTAATATGAGAAAAAATATGATAGAAATACTAGTTGAGGGACAACCTAAAAAATGCCTGAGAAGTACTCCTCAAACCTTACAAGGGCTTAGAAAATAAGGAATGACTGAGAAATTGTCACAATCAAGAGGAACCCAGACAAATATTATGCTATGTAATGTGGCCTCCCGGATGGAATCCAGTAACAGAATAATATTAGGGGTAATCTATGGAAATCTGAATAAAGTATGATCCTCAGTACATGATAATGTATCATTATTGGGTAATTACCACAAAGTGCCAAACTAATGCAAGATGTCAATAAAATATAGTAATGAGTGTGGTGTGTGATATATGGGGACACTCTACATTTTGTGTTTTCAAAATAAATCTGAGAGTATTCTAATTTTTTAAAAAATTCACTCGAAGGAAAAGGCTTTTGGTAAAACTCTCATATTCAGAGCAAAGCCAAGCTGCAAATGGCAAAATTACCACCATTTTCTCATCCAAATGTAATGTTAAATTCAAATGTTATATTGGATTCAAGCAAGGATTATCAGTGGAGCTGTGGATTTAGCTTATTTGTAAAGTGATTGTTTATCCAATACAAATCCTGTATTTCATCCCCAGTACTTGAAAAAAGAGGATGTCAATGGATATTATGGCCACTGCTCAAAAACTACTGGGAAATAGGAAATTAACATAGTGACGTATCACCATGTAAATTAAATTTTAGTTTGAACAAATAAGTTATCTTGACCATAGAAAAATCAGGTGGACACTATCTAATCAATATATCAAATTTAGCATGGCTTGTAACCAGATGCAGTGATGTTTTAGGTTTCTTGCAATGCACATAGACTAGCAAACCTATTATTAGTATAATTATTTAATTTAAATCTAGTCATGAGGAAGCATCAGAAAAATGTATACTTTGCAGGATATCTTATGAAACACTGAAAACTTAAATGTAATAAAAGAAAAAAAAGAAGAAAATTCTGCTAGATTGAAAAAGAGTAAAAAAGGATATAACTGTAAGTAGTGATCTTTAATCATATCCTAGATGAAAAAAAAATCACTTTAGGGATACTTTTCTGTATTGTTGGGAAAATTTGTATATGAAGTGTATATTATATGACATTAAATTTCTTGGGGATGATAATTATGATTATGTAAGGAAGTACATTTGCCCTATTAGATATATGTTGAGGTATTTATTGGTAAGATGGCATGATATACACACTATATATATATATATATATATATATATATATATATGGGTGTGTGCATATGTGTGTATATAGATGTCTGTCTCAATGTATATACTTTCACATATGCAGATGGGCAAATTTAGCAAATTGCTAAAAATTGTCCAATGTAAATAAATGCTTAACAATTGTTTAAGACTTTAGTTAAAAATGAATATTGATATTAATTGTCTGATTAGCTAGCCTTTCTATAGACTTAACATTTTTCTGAATTAATTGCAGGCAAAATGTATTTTTCTCTTGAATCTCTGTCCTGTATCTCTGCCACTCAATACTTGAGCTTCTTGAAGTCTTCTCATCATGCTATTCTTTGCTTATGCAATGCATAGCATGATTTGGTGGTTAGTATGATTGATTGTGCAGCTGGATTGCCTGAATTCTGGATTATGGATCTGAATCTTTTAATCTCTGAGGAGAAATTATGAAATTTCTCTGTTATTCAGTTTTTAAAAGTGGGTTTATTAAAAGTTAAAATATAGTAATGTGAGTAAAAGATTTAATAGATGTGACAAAAGTGAAATGGCTACCACCAAAATGTTATTTAAAATGTAAATGAATGTGTGAGGAATAATTCAGAGTGTGAAGGAACATGTATAAGAGATAGGTAAGAACACAAATATAGCAATAAATATTTATCACTTGCAAATAAAACACCTTGTCCATGAAAGCTTAAAGTATAAAAGAGATGGCTCATTCCAGACATTTTATGTCTGTTACTCTGTGGTTCACTCTGCTGTGCTGTTTGAGTGCTGACAATGTCCTTATCTGTTGGTTTTTGTTTTTATGTCCATATGGAAGTAGGCTGTGAGCCATCTCACATTTAAATATTGTGATATTCAGAGACAGAAATATTATTTTTTGTGGAATTCTTAAATAAATGAAAGTAATTTCCTAGAAACTTCCAGAAAAATCACGTTGGTTTGTCTTACAGGTCCCAAAGTCATATATTCTTCCATCAACAGATGTTGGAGATTCAGCATTGCTAAGTATTAGGGGTGGGTGCTGCAGAAACACTTAACCTAAAATCTTGGTATTGTTAGTAAAGGTAAATGAAATCACAATGGTGTACATCTTCCAATTAATTCAGGGCTGCTCAAAGTTTTGGTCTCTTGATTCGCTAATACTCTTAAAACATACGTAAAACCTTAAATTTCTTTTGTGTGTGCAGGTTGTATCTATAAGCATTTACCATGTTAGAAATTAAAACAGAAAAATTAAAACTTAATAGTCAAAATAAAAGTAATAAATCCATTATATATTAACTAGCATAATTATATTAAAAACACTTTATAGAAAACACTTACTGAATGCCCAAATAGGTCAGGCATCCTTTCAGTACCAATAACATAAGATGTGAGATGGTTGATCCAGGAACAAGGTAGGACTTCATTTTACTATACAACAATTATGAACTGCTTAGTTTAAATTTAAAATGTTGCTTATTAGTGTGAACCACTGTTCTTTATCTGTGCTCAAGGTCCACTCTCATCTGCTGATATGTGAATTTTTGAAGTTTGTTCCATTCTAAGCACTTTCCAATCAATCAATTGCCAATTGCGTTTTCCAAAATACACAACCATATTATTGTGCTGCCAGGAGGACTCCAATATCTATCTCTAAATAAATTCAAATTGCTGATGTGACACTGTTTTCCCAGTACCTGATCCACCACTTCTCCCATACTCACAAAGAACTCTCTGCAACAGGTTGCCACTTTCTGGCTCAGACCCATTGTTCATATCCCCTGTCATTTTCCATTCTCAATAACTCACTCATCTCCATTAGCATTGACTGTATTTACCCTTATTTCTGTTTTGCTGTTGCTATCAAATTTCCATTGTTTCAGGCTACAATGTAATTCAGAAGTAACTTAATAACCTAAGAGTAGTGCCATAATTTCCGTTTTTTGAATCATGAATCCATGTGGAAGAAAAGTAGTATTGACCAAAACTCTTAGATGCATTGCATTCACCTCTATGAGCTTGGACAGTATTTCAATTCATGAAGATTTTTTTCAAAAAAGTAGAAAAGAATGTCAAATTAGGTGGAAATTAGTCTACATGAAAATTCTAGACTAGTGCATAGCAGATGTACATTTTCAGTGAATTATTCTTTTTGTATCTTTGTACATTTATTTGACAGTAAAATATTTTTAGATATTTATGATTTTCACTATTTTCTGTCTTATTTATACTTGAACAACATCTCTATCTTTTGTTAATACTATGAATGTAACAATACTTTCCACTAAAGTCAATGCAGGTTTTTGTTACTCCTAATGACCAATAAAACAAGTAATGATATAAGTGAGAAAAAACTTGAATTAATGTATATATTCAGTAAATACAATGTCATACATGATAGACAAATAAGAAAACTGCATAAAAACTAAAACACATAGGAATTCCACCATGAAGTGCATAATTTTAAACTACAGACTAATGAATCAGGATTAGATTTTCTGGGTCAGAGAATTTGAAGGTGAAAATGATTAATTCTAAATATGAAACTATTCTTCATTAGAGAATAACTACTTAGGATGAATACCAATTCAAACATAATCTTTGGAAATTGCTAGTCATGTTGAAGATCCCATTCAAGAAAACCGTTTACTTCCCACAAACGGTGCTCCTTAAAAAGAGATTAATATTAGAGAATTTGGAATGTGCCTGAAACTTTAAGATTATACTTTGGGATTGAGAAATTTTCCAACTACTTTTATATGTACTCACTTTATCCATAACATTAGATGAATTTTTAAAAATTTTGGGCTAAATAAACTGTTACACCAGTGGAGAACTTTTTTACTTCACTCCTGATGGGTCCTAGTACCTTAGATTTCTAAGCATATTTTAGCAGAATATCAAGTTTCTGAGTTAATTTATCTCAAACAGCATCATGTTTCCATAACTTAACATTTTGGACCAAAAAATAACATTTGCTACTTTCTCAGTACCTGTCAATTTTTTAAAAAAGGTATTATCAAATTGAAATCGCTTTTCCAAGTCGGATGATATTTATTTTGGAATATTACAAAACTGTCTATTTTTCCTTATTCTTTTAATAACATTTATTACTTCCTTATTTCTTAGACTATAAATGAAAGGATTTAATAAAGGGATTACTAGGGTATAAAAAACAGCGACAGATATGTCTTTATCCCCTTCATTAAGTGCATTGGGTCGAATATACACAAAGAGCAGAGAACCATAGAACATCGACACAGAGAGAAAGTGGGAGGCACAGGTAGATAAGGCTTTGCCTCTTCCTTCTTTGGATTTCATTGTGAATATGGTGAAAAGAATATACAAATATGATATCAGGACTATAGCAATACTAAAAGTTTGAACTGACCCTGAGAAGATAAGTATCATCAAATCATTAATATAAGGGTCAACACAAGAGAGTCTATATAATGGAAGGACATCACAAAAAAAGTGATTGATTTGATGAGACCCACAGAAAGTTAACCTAAATAATAGCCCTACTTGAATTATGGAATGCAGGTTTCCAATTATATAGGCTGCTGTGGTCATACAAATGCAGAGTTTCATGGACATCCTGGTGTGGTACTGCAGTGGGCTACAAATGGCCACATAGCGGTCATAGGCCATTGCAGCCAGAAGAAAGCAGTCTGCAGTTTCAGCAAGACAGAGAAAATAAAACTGTGCCATGCATTCATAGAGGGAAATTCTTCTGTCTTCAGAAAAGAAGTTCTCTAACATTTTGGGAGTGATGGCACAGGAACAGCAAGCATCCATCAGAGCCAGGTTTCCCAGAAAGATGTACATTGGTGTATGAAGACGACATTCCATGTAAATCAAGGCTACCAAAACAAGATTCCCCACCATGGTGATCAGATAAATGGCAGAGAAGACCACAAACAGCAGGCTCTTCAGGTCTGGGTGATCTGTAAATCCTGTGAGGATGAATTCAGGTGTCAAGGAGAAGTTGTCCTCAGTCATCCTTAGCTTTTCTATTGAGAACAAAATTAGGAAGATAGAAGAGTCTAATTGAGAGTGTATAATTTATTATTTTAATTTTTTCTCTTTTATAACTGGTAAAGGAGTTTCCTTAAGGATCCTCTGGTGTCTGTGGAACACAGCTCCCTATACTTTTGGGGAGCATTAGTTCTCCTAGTGTCAACACCTATGGCCTCTACAAATGACTCTCAGAATTCATAAAGATATTTTGGTAGTTAGAGGGTGGATACTTAAAGTATAAATGTGTACCTTTATATTTTTATGGAAGGATAACATAAAAATTTAGGATACCCACATTAGATTCATTTTTCCCAGGTAATTTCAGTGTCAGTCTTTTAAACATCCCTAAAACACATTCAAAACCAATTTTTCTGTAAATGTGTGATTTCTTTAAACCAGGAAGACTATTATACATTGTCATAGTGAAGGGTATTTTTTTTCCCTATAGTACTGGGGCTTGAACACGGGGCCTACACCTTGAGCCACTCCAGCAGCCCTTTTTTGTGATAGGATTTTTCAAGATAGGGTCTCCTGAACTGTTTGCCCCAGCTGGCTTTGCAGAATTTATAAGAAAAAATTTCAAAAAAATTTATGTAAAGAAAATTTCCTATCTTTTTAATTTAAATGGAAATTTTCTCCTATTTTTCTGTCTCCTCTGAAAATTTTATAAGGTTATCTGCTTTATGTAATAATATAAAGCAAATGAAAATAGCCTTATCTTTATATTTCAGAGTTTTTTTGTTGTTGGTGCTTGTTGTACTGGAGATTGAAGTCAGGGCCTCATTCTTGCTAAGCAGGGGCTCTACCACTTGATCTACTCCTCTAGCCCTTGTTTTTAAGTTGGGTATTTTTGAGATAGGGTATATTTGCCCTCCTGAGTAGATAAGATTATAGTTGTGGCCACTGGTGCCCAGCTAAACTTCAGTTTTTAACACTTATAAAAAGTGAATATCATTTAAATCTTAGTAATATTTTAAATTGAAATTTATTTGGCTTCAAATAGTTGTTTGCTCTTGTTACTTAAGTGATCCATAAGGACATATTGACTGAGAAATCTGTGGGTAAAGTGGGTTTATTTCCATAATCAAACATCAAAAGGCAAACAGTAGAAATTTTTAAATCTTTAATATCAAATATAAGTCATAAAGTTAGTTGTTAGAAATTACATTCAATGTATATGTCTCTGTTAACACAAATTTTGATAACTTTATCTGTATAATTTGAAATTTTATCTAATATTCAGAAAAATCAGATAAATGACAATATTGTACCTAATCCTAAAATCACATAGTCTTAACTTTGAGTAGTTCTAGGAAAATGTGAAAGAAGTTCAAATTTAGGAATATTGAAACATGGTAAATAATTTAGGGAAGTAAATATTTACACTTGTTAAAATTCAATTGTATTACCTGTATTTCACAGAGAAGATCTGTGCATTGTTTGCTTTATGGCAAAAGTCTATGAATTTTAACATTTATATGTATCTTGGTCTCTAAAAGCATTTGGGATTAAGATAATGAAAACATCTTAGATAACCTACAGGTCACTGTTAGTAATTATTTCCTCACACAGCAAAATTATTATGTTCTACAAAATCCTAAAGGGATTTCCCTATACTAACATCAGTGTACTTCTGTGGAGAGAGAAAGTGCTAAAAAAATATAAACCACTTGAAATTAATTGAAGATGCCCTATGAGACAATGAGATTACAGAAAATGACCTTCATTAAAGTCTGTTTGAAGATCATCTTTCTGATTTGTGGGTAACTACTTTGCACAATTTTCTTCATCATTCTCTGCTTAAAATACAAAATAAGCAGCAAATACTCTCTGTCTGTTTTCTCCCCGTCATTGGAATTAATATACTATATATATATATATATATATATATATAAAGTAGAATTAATATACTTTATAAAAATAATTAGTGTTCGAGAGGAAACTATAAGGTGTAGTAGTTTCAACCATGTTCATCAATTTCTTCACTATGTGAGTTGAATTTATCTCTGTGTCGTATAACACACTACATGAAAATTTGATATTACTGATATCTCTAGTCTTTTTTTTCATATCACTTATAATCTACCTTTCTTACACTGCTGTTTTTTCTTCTTCGTACCACTAATTCACTTCATACCATTTTCCACTAAGCTCTGTTTATTTTTGTATGTTTACAGTTGGTCAATGTTTCCCCATCCCTACCATTATCACTATGACTTAGGAGAAGGGGTTTTTTCAGTATGTTCATTCCAGTATCTCTAGCACTCTGAAAAGTGTTTGAAGTGCTCAAAATTTGTTGAATGAATGAAAATGATACTTCTGCTAAGGATACTACTCAAAAATTTATAATAATACCTAACTAGTTTTCAAAAAGATCTATTTTCCTATTTTAGAATCCAGAATCCTCCATAGTCCATCTGCATCTTGTCATATTGTTTTCTTCTGTACATATCAGGTAACTTTGCCATAAACTTACTGTTTCTTGAGTATTTGCTTCAATTAACTTAATAGCAATATTTTCCTCATATAACTTCTTCCTCTTTTGCTATCTCATCTTGCTCTTATTTGAACTCAAGTACGAACTCCTTCATGAGAACTTTCCTAGGTGCTTGTAATAAAATTGACAGTTCATCTCTCTTTTGAATACTTTGCAGCAAACTGAACTAAACGCTCAATACATATTCATTGTCTTCATTCCCTAAATATATACAAAGGGTACTGGAAAAGACAATGCATAGGGTGAGGAACAAGGTGAAGAAAAGAACTTCTTAAATTTAGAAATGACTCCTGCTATGGAGTTCATAGTCAAGTCAGAGAGAAAGATACAGATTCCTGACTAGAGTATAATTCAGGCTGTGATATAGAAAGTGATGAATATGTAATATAAGTATACATAAAGAAGGAAAACCTGGAAGAATAGAGGTCTGGAGGAATACAGAAAGATTTCTGGTGGAACATCATTTCAGATTATCCTTGCAGAGTAAGTTAAGTTATAACTCATAGTGAGCATGAGAAAATGTAGTTGGGGGTCCTCATGAAAAAATTCTGAAAATTTTATTTTATTTTTTGTTGTGCTGGTTGGGGTTACATTGTAGTATTTACAAAGGTTCTTAAAATATATCAAATATAACATACTTCAATTTACCCCCTCCATTGCTCTCTTTCATCCTCCCTCCCCTGATTCCTGGAACAGATATCTTTTTTGCATGTACATATATATGTATGCATTATTTGCACTATATTTATCCTCCTACCCTTCTATCCTCTAAATCCCCCCCAACTGGTTCCAACCACTCCGCCCCACCCCAGCCTGGGCAGAACCTGTTTTGCCCTCCTGTTCTCCAACTTTGTAGAGAAAAAGCATAATAGATAGTAAGAGAAACATGGTGTTTTTGCTAGTTTGTTGTTTCCATGCATATATGTATTTACTACCCCAATTGGTTCAACTCTACCAGTCCTCTTCACTCCTCCCTACTCCCCTTCTCATGGTGGCCCCAGCCAGTTTAAAATTTCTATATTCATTCCTGTATAGTGAGCATATGATCCTCATTCAAGTTGTTGGTTTCCTTCCCTTGCCCTATCCCTCCTGTGAGTGGCCTTCCCTTAGTGTGACCTGCATTTGTTTTGGGTCTATAATCCACATATGAGAGAGAACATGCAGCTTTTGGCCTTCTGAGCCTGACTAACTTCATTTAAGATGATGTTCTCCAGTTCCATCCATTTATCTGCCAATGACAAAACTGCATTTTTCTTTGTGGCTGAATAAAATTCCATTGTGTATAAATACCACATTTTCTTGATCCATTCATCAGTAGTGGGGCATCTTGGCTGTTTCCATAGCTTAGCTATTGTGAGTAGTGCTGAAATAAACATGGATGTGCAGGTGCCTTTGTAGTAAGTTGACTCATATTCTATTGGGTACATCCTTAGGAGTGGTATTCCTGGATTGTATGACAGATCTATTTTTAGTTTTTTAAGGAGCCTCCATACTGCTCTCCACAGTGGTTTTGCTAGCTTACATTCCCACCAGCAGTGTATGAGGTTCCTTTGTCTGTGTATCCTCACCAACATTTGTTGTTGATGATGGCTATTCTAACATAAGTGAGATGGAATCTTAGTGTGGTTTCGATTTGCATTTCCTTTATGGCCAGGGATTGTAAGCATTTTTTTCATTTTTTTTTTTAGCCATTTGTACTTCTTCCTTTGAAAAAGATCTATTCAGTTCAGTTGCCCATTTCTTTATTGGGTCATTGATTTTTTGTTTGTTTGAATTTCATTTTCTGAGCTCCCTGTATATTCTGGTTATCAATTTCTTATATGATGTATAGCTGGCAAAGATTTTATCCCATTCTATGGGTGTCCTCTTCAATTTAGAGACCATTTCTTTTGTTGTGCAGACTAGTTTTAATTTCATGTAGTCCCATTTGTCAATTCTTTCTCTTAGTTGCTGAGCCACTTGTGTTCTACTGAGGAAGTCCTTGCCTATGCCTATTGCTTCCAGTGTATTCCCTGCTCTTTCCTGTAATAGCTTCAAGGTTTCATGTCTGATATTAAGGTCCTAAATCCACTTTGAGTTGATACTTGCACAAGGTGACAAGCATGGATTTAGTTTCAGTTTTCTAGAGGCAGACATCCAGTTTTCCAAGCTATGTTTGTTGAAGAGGCTATCTTTTCTCCATCATATGTTTTTGGCACCTTTGTCAAAAATTAAGTGGGTGTAGCTACATGGGTTCATATGTGGGTCCTCTATGCTGGTCTTCATATCTGTTTTTGTGGCAGTACCACACTGTTTTTATTGCTATGGCTTTGTAGTATAGTTTAAAGACAGGTATTGTGATACCTCCAGCATTGCTTTTTTTTTTTTGCATTGGGATTTTGATGGAAATTGTGTTAAGCATGTAGATTGCTTTTGGTAGTATAGTCACTTTTATGTTGATTCTGCCAATCCATGAGCATGGGAGATCTTTCCACCTTCTGTAGTC